GAGTGAGGAGAGGCTTTGACCCCCAAATCCTGGGTGGAAGGAGATAACAGCAGGTCTGGCAGGCTGGTACTGCCTATGCGGAGTGTTCTGGAAGATGGCTTGGTTACCTGGCGACACATGACATCATGCTGCGCTTGGTTCTGGAAGATGGCTTGGTTGCCTGGCAATGCATGACATCATGCTGCGCTTGTGTGCTCCCTTGCATGCATATTATGTGACAAGGTCTGGAGTTAAGTGTTCCTAGCACAGCATAAGCTGCGCTATTTGTTTGGAGGCTGTGCGCAAAGGCTGTGAAGGTGAGATCCCCTGCAGCAATATTCCCTCACAAGGAGTCCCCTGCAGCATAAATCCCTCACTCTTCAATATAAAAGAAGGGCCTCTCCCCACCAGAAAGTCCCTTCTCCCCATCAACCTACGGAAGTAAGTTTGATCACCCAAGTTGAAGAATAAGTTAGTAAGTGAGTGAGTTAGTGATAAGTAGTGAATTAGTACAGTATTGTAAGCGTGAAACCAACACAGAGTTCGGAATTTGAAGCATATTAGTAGTAGTAGTCATCATATAAGTAGTAGTACATTAACAATTAAACCAATAACAAGTAGTAGTAGTATTAGTACCGGAGCTCTAGTTTTTGATTAAAGTGCCTTAGCAAGAAATTGTTCAAGGAAGAGATCATTAACAAACTCTGTAACAACTCATCTGTTTCGTGCTCAAGTCATCAGCACCTCAGTTTCCATTATTAACCTGAAGTTGTAACAGATTCATTAGTAGATTGATACGTGATCTAGGTCTGATAGAGATTACTTTACGAAAGTAAGATCTATCTTGGAATCAGCCATACATTATTAAATATTGATTACAAGACTCTTAGTTATTTGTTTAGTACATTTAGAGGGGCAGGTCTTTCAAACCACCCGTAAGTTGTAATAGTCTTTCAACCTATTTGCAATTTATTTCCCCCTCAAGGGATCTTTTGATATACATATACTTTACCGTGTCTATCCGTCCCAGGAGTCCTACAACGGTGTGCCATCAGCAGCCGGGAGGAATCCTCCCAGCTGTCCGGGATCTTTTGGGTTAGCCAACGGCCAAAACCCCTTGGGTTTTGGGGCATCAACCCTCAACTCCTTTTAGAGATGGGCACTTTGCATCCGGATATCCGCGCGGATGCGGATATCCGGTTGCTTTTTCCGGGGAAAGCGGCATCCGCATCCCCTGGCGGATATCCCCCCGCCTTAGCGGGTATCCAAGCGGATATCCTCAGATACCCGCCCTCTAAATGGCCGGCAAGGCACATCCTTGCCGGCTGGAAGGGAAACCTTCCCCTTACAGCCGGCCATTGGTCTCGGGTATCCCAGGGGATAACCGGATATCCGCCGGGATTTGGGGGGGGGGAAAGGACATCCGCATCCTCTGGCGGGTATCCGCTGACCCTGGCGGGTATCCGCCAGCGGATAGCGGATACCCGCCAGCAGATAGCGGATACCCGCCAGCGGGATAGCAGATACCCGCCAGAGAGATCATCCCCGCCCATCTCTAACTCCTTTGAGAGTTGGTATTTTTTTAATTGAATTTTGTAGAGATTCAACTCCCAACCCCACTGATGGGTTTGGGAGATTGACTCCCATTTCTTGGGGATTTCGGTGGAAAATCCAGGGGTTTTGGGGTTTGGGAGTCGACTCTCCACTTTTTGGGAGTCAATTAGCTAAGACCCATTTTTTTCACAAATTTTGAAACTTTATTTTTTCATATTCATTTTTTGGGACCTATTATGCACCAACTGACCAAGTATGTGTTTTGGAACTCTGGAATCTAAAATAAGCAGCCACTTTTCACTGTCTAACCACTTGCCACCACTCCTTCCAAGACCAGATTGACTTGGAGTGATCATTTCTTTTACTCTCAAACATTTTATTTCTAACATTAATTTTTCTTGAGCTTTCAGACTTTCAGGACCCGTATAGGTAGGTCCTGGATGTAGGTGGAATGGGAGTTGACCATTGTGGAAACAATGTAGGCAAGGAGCCCACGTGCTCCCAACAAACTCAAATGTGGTTTTGTGGAACCATCAATAAAAAAACTGCTTGTTTTGTGAAACCACCGACAAAATCAAATCTCACACAGCTTACAGGACTTTTACAGAGCCAATATTGTGGGTTTCATGGATCAGCTGTGTTTTGCTGGTTCCACAATCCTGTGTGGGGGGAAGTGCCCCTGGGGTTTAAAAAGCATATTAACATCAGCTTCATTGCCCTGAACTATCTCTGCTCTTCACACTCTATTAAACAACTATTTCTGCCTCAAGGTTCACAATCAACTCCAATTCTCATGGAGGTGGGAGTTTATCTCACAGTGGTACTACTACAACCAACTTGATCATCCATATCTCAAGGCATCCATGACCCAGTCACCAACTCCAGACCAATCTGCGTCTGTTGGGAAAGATAAAAAAATAACAGACTCACAAATGGAATGCTTTGCAAATATGGATCTTGCAGGTCTTAGTGCATCTAAGAGCTATGGCACTCAAAAGTGTATGAAGGACAACATTAAAGAAGATCTCAACAAGAGGTACTATGAATTCCAGTGCAACATTACCAAACTAGCCATTCAAAATCCTGTTGGGGATCATTGTTACTTCAATCATATGGGTCAAAGCCAAAGGGTCAGAGGGCCATGGTCTTGGAACAATTTTCAGCAGCATGATCCCAAGGCACGGAAGTTGTTCAATGAATGTGGGTCATGCTCATCAGCATCTAATCTATCTATTGCTGACTAACAAATCCTTTTTTGCCGGATTCCTCTCTGTGTGATGTAGTTGGTCTTGATGCTGGTTGCCCAAAGGTGCCTTATGGATCAGAAAGACTTGGCCAGAGAAATGTTGATATCACAATGTGAACTACTTGAAGACCTTGCAAGAAGTGGCGACCAAGTCTGGTGGAACTAATGTACCCCACCCAAAAACTGTCCTCCATGCCCCTCTGGCCGATAGTCTGCCTATTCAATTACACGGAAGAGTTCAAGTGTCAAAGCGTTCCTTAGAGAAAAGTAGCACCTTGGTATTGACTTGGGTGAATAAGTTGCAATTGGACGTAAGTTTTCCCTCTTGTTCTCATGCTTAAAGCAACTTGATGTTTGACAACAGTTATCTACAAAGTTAGATTCATTTGCTTTCTTTCATCAAGCTGAAGGTTTTTTCTGTTGTTGTTGCCTCTCGACATCCCAAGCGCACCATTTATCACAAAGGTGGCTCTCCGATTAGTGATCAATTCTTACGAATGCTGGCCCAGGACAAAGATTCCGATGCGGCCGCCGAATTTCATAACTGGACTGCTGCCCAAGCAATTCAAATCAGTAAAGGATGTGGGGCAACTGCTCCACAGAGGACACGTATCACAAAGTAAGGCTAATTACATCGTAGTTGTAGACATTGTTACTCCCGGTGAGTGCAACATATAAGTAATGGATTTCGATATGTAGATGAGCAAATGTGGAATCATTTGGATAAATCATTGGAACTATGGCTAGCTTAGCGAAGAGAGAACTGTGAGGTCATTACAACCCGCATCTGAGCATTCAGTGAGTCGATGACTTGGAAATTGAAATCAGTGTATCTAGTTGGGAAGGATAAAGAGTGAATGTTGGAAAAACGAGACCGTTTAAGTTTCATTTCGTACGTGTATGGGGCCTCGAAAAAAATCAAATTTCAAGACCCTTTATTATCTTGTAAGGGACTTGAAAATAAATGGATGAGTGGAGGGGCAGAGCGAGGTTGGATGAACTTGGGGGGAATCAGGCGGGGAGATGTTCCCCGACTTCCAGAACTTCCGCGTGTCGATGAAGCATCGTCAAAGTAACCCTTCATGAGGAGCTTTCTCGCGCGGGCTCTGGGTATTCTTCGGGGAGGGTTTATAGGGATCGATCAGGTGATTGAATATAGAACCACCGCGAAAGAAACCAAAAAAAAAAAAACAGCAAGATGGGATCTGAAAGCACCGCGAGTTTGCAGGCTGGCGTTACTCCTGATCATGTAAAATATGTATGTAAGATGGCACCACGTCCACATCCAACCACCTTCCCCCCTTCTGCTATCTCTGATAGGAACTTCTCAGAACACCCTAGCTTGACTCATGCTGTCAACTAAAACCATCCAAAACATCATCACGGACATATTTGACATCCACAAGCCCCTTCCCCTGGTGTCCGGTGACGACTCTCTTGTCGATCCCGCAGCCATAATTTTTTTGCTATATGCTTGGGAGGGCTCGGCTTTTTTTTTCTTCCTCGTGGCTTGTGTCTGTCCAGATATGTGTATACACAAAATCGAAAGAGACTTCTTTTTAGCTGGGTGATGCTGATAGGCTCGTTTTACCAGTTAGATAGCTAACTCTGTCAAACTCCTCTGTCTGCTTCTCCTCTTCTTCCACGGCCCAACCCGGAGTCAAAGAGAGATGGGAGAACGATGTGGTTGACCATACATACATGTGTGGATGTGCTAAAATTTGTTTGTGGACAGAGGCAATCTTTGATTGGGGCGATCTGTAGGTGCTGCCACTCAAGATATAAAAGCGCTTTCCTCTGCACATCTGCTGAGCTTGTCACTCACGCCCCCCTCAACAACCGAGCTGCATTACTATACATACATTCTCAATTCACTGGGCAATTGCTCTTGTTCAATTGATTTCCTCTACCTGTTTATCGGTTGCATTATTAAGTAGCTTCTCCTAACTCCATACGTTTAAGGACTGTTTGATTAGTCGTGTTTCGTGATGCTTCAAGGTATGATTCAATTCTACTAGACCGCCCTATCTCCTCTCAAGACTTTCATGTTATCACTCCCATCCGCCCCCCATCCCAATCTTTATTCATAATCCATCCTGTGGGATAAGGATCTGGCATGGGCTTCAGCAAAACACTTCGTTGATGTATTGCTGCACCGCAAGTTGACTGAACTGGTCTTGCTTGACTCATTGAAAAAATGCATTGAGTAACCCGGGCAGTCAACATCCTCAACTCAGCCGTTGAACTCGTTTCTTGAATACTTTTCGGAGATGTCGCTGATTTTATCTTGTACCTCAAATTGAACCCGTTCTTAAAAAAGACCCGATATGTGTGATTGGTAGGCCACTTGGGCGCCTATCGGCCAAATCGCAGGCTGCTTTTTGCGGGCTTTCTCGAGGCAACTTACAGTCAAGCAATTCCCCAGCGGCATCTTCCATTCCTTCTCCGCAAGTAATCAAGGTAGTTCACGAAAAGTTTGATGAGACATCGTTGGCTTCAGAAGGAAGCTGGGCCGGCTTCGCACGAACCGGTTTTGCATGCCTCCGCTTAGCCAGACTTCATACTCTAATGGGTTTGTCAAAAATCTCTCTGCTCAGTCAAGTCGATATTATGAGTTTCTAATCATAGTATCATGCTTCTAAATTCAGCGTGGGCCATCTTTCCCGCCCCTGCAATTTATACCGTCGTACTTTATCATAGCACTGGAGCAATGGCTCTGGATGCATCGGAGAAAATCCTTGGATGTATGCGATTATCAGTGGTGATGTTCTTGTGTGTATTGAGGTGAGGATTCTCAGATTATTTACTGGGAGTTAATTAAGGGGTGGACATAGAGCGCTCCGATATTTCGGTAGTCACATTAGGTCACATCATCAAAAGCTAACCTCTTTCAATCGATATCTAGTTACCGCGCTGCAGGACTTGCATGGGACGTAAGTCACTTCAGAGCCTTAACACCCCGGGTCTCTCTTCTCTGAATATCTTAGCTTGTATGACTATGGACCCCACCGACTGCCGATAAGTCATCACGAGTAAAAAGTGATGCTTACTCAGTTTGTATACTGCTGCAACAGGACCTTATTGATCGAGATTTTGATGCTCAAGTTACACGATCTATGACTCGACCTCTTCCGGCGGGTGACATATCTGGTTAGATTTCATACTTCATTAGCTCGTCAATCAAGAAGGCCATTCAAAGATTCATACGCAGAAGCAGCTAAATCGAAATGTCTTGTTGTCTTAGTCGATGGCGCTCTGCTCTACATTATCTTTCAAATAGGCTGTACCATCATCTTGCTACAAGCTCTCACAGGCCCCGAGGTGTAAGCTGAGCTCAGAATGTTCAGGGCCAGAAACACTTTTTGACACGAATATCACTGATTTCTTATGTCTCTTTTCTTGTTTGAAGCTTCGTCAGCTTTATAATTTCCGGTGCACTTTTTGGAATTTACCCCTATCTTAAGGTATGCATTCCTGCTAAATGTGTTTTTATGAGAATTCACTTGCAATAAAGTCTGCTCAGTACGTATTCGTAAGCTCATGGATATATTACCACGCAGCGCTGGACGAATTACACCCAAATATTTGGCGCGCTGTTGATTGCCATGGGAGTTATACAAGGATGGCTTGCATGCGCGACTCTCTACAATCCGGTTCCCGGTTTCACTCCTGGTTGGACTCATGCCCTCGCTATCATCCAGAGAGATTGGCTGCAGCTGGTTCCCATTTTCTTGATGGAGTTCACATATGGTTAGTTTTTACGGCAGAAACTCATTAATAGCTAATGCTGACAAGTTTTATATGTCGCTTCGTACCAGAACTCGCACACGAGCTTATATACGGCTGCCAGGTAGGTAAAAACACGCCTGAAAACCATCAGTGGCAAACGGGACTGGTACTAATATCTGCTTTTGTAGGATACCGCTGAAGACATCATGATTGGATTACATTCACTGTCAATTTTATGCGGTTACGAACAAAGTCGAACTCTAGGCACTTCTCTCATGAGCTGCTTTTGCTGCTTTCTTGCTTATTGTGGAAGAAATGCCGATGTGGTGGGATGGCAGGCCTCCATAATACCCCCTCTGATGCTGGTTTACTGGACGAGCAGGTTAGACCTCTCCACACCAGCTTCTTGTGGAAAATGGGCTGGTAGCGCAATCAAAGTGAGAAAATACTCACCATCCTTTCTCGCAAATAAGGTTTTTGCTAACCCTGATGTTCTTTTTTGTCACATCAGGTGAAAGTTGTCGTAACGCTAGTATTGATGCTTTGCTTTATCCAAAAGGAGATGGAATTGTTGGAGCTGATCAGGAGCAGCTTAAGCCACCTTGCAAAGAACACATCACTTCCATGATAATCATTAAAAATCTTTCCCGCACATCGTTAATATCTTGCAACCACTCTACTTATTTTTAATCATGCAAGGGGGCTCTTAATGTTTTTCAAACATGAATCATATCTTGGATTGTAGCTCCTGATCAATTTTTATATGTATCTCCTGAAGATCCGATGTCACATATTGCCTCTCCACTTGTAAACTATCTCACATCTTCAATAGTTGTGCTTGAGTCTTGAATTAATCTATATCGTTTTTTTCTTTTCTCAGCATCATAAGTGATCATTCATACCTCAAATTGTTGGCTTGTCACCTTTTCCATATTTTTTTTCCAGGCTAATTTCATGTTTTCACTTGACTCATTGAGATCATTGAGGCAAATATCAACCTGAATTATCTTCTTCAGCACCACTCATATCACTCTATTTTGAAAATGTGTTGAACAAATTGACAACATAATCATGCTTGGAGCAGCCTTTTAATTATGTCACAGCTGAAGTATTTTGGAATTGAAGGTGTCAGTTCTTATAATTAAACATTCATATATAGGTAAATACAATAGGAATGATCAATAAATAATGGCTAACATCTTACCTGAAGGCAGAACAGAATCTGCTACTAAATGAGTAAAGAAATAATAAAGAAATAAATCCTTGATCACAATAGCTATTTGGCTGATATTGACTGATAATAGGGGGTATCAAATATAAGAAATCCACCCTTAGAAACCAGAAACTTTTCCCAAAACTTTTTTTTTTTGCATCAATGGGCCCCAAAAGGGGTTAAATGAAGAACCAGCATGTTTAAAAAAGGGTGTATTTTTCAAAACCAGTAAATTGAGTAATGGTGGATTTGGTTATATTTGATACCCCCTAATGATGCTAAAGATGATGAAAAAAAACTAGATCAGTCATTATTTTATTATTACTTACCATAATATTTTTTAAACAATAGGACAGTTCAAATTTAAGGTCCAGTGCTGCTGGTTTGCTTAAGCAGCACTGCTTTCTGGTTTTGAAAACCTACTATCTCACTAGCCAAATTGGCTGTCACTCATAAAACCAAACATTGAATGCTCTTCTGGTTCAAAATTCCTGTTTTGCTGGAGAATTTCAAATGTGAACCCCCCTATTATTAACAATAGAAATAATACATTAAAATAAGCTACCTAGTCAAGTCTTGTTGACAATTTTTTATGTTAATGTCCTTTGATTGAGTTTTCTATTTTATAGAAATACAGAACAATAACATTATTTGGTTTTTTGATTATTTGCTTTCTCCATTTGAGAAAGGTTATAATTACTCACCAGATAATGGCGGAAAGGTTTGGTCAATGGATTTTTCTTTGTTTGAATTTGGAAGTTGAGAGCTAGTGATGATTCTGGAGAATAAAGGTATGATGGTTAACAATCCTATCTTTCCTCTGAATGAATGATGATAGTTCAATGAATCGTAGTCATCATCAACTAGATTTATTTTGTCACTGAAATCATGTCTCTTTTCACAAGCTTTGCTCTTGGCAATCTCTTGTTTGCTTATCTTCCTTCTTGTTTTCAAGACTGTGCAATATCAATGGCTGGAAAGGATTCCTTCTGATCATCAAGACTTTACAATTTTGATAATCAGAGGGAATCACTGACGGCCAGTGGGAGGGAGATGACTCCCAAACCTCCCACTTGCCAGGGAGGGTCACATCGGACAAAGATAAAATAGCTTTTGTTTGATCTTCATAAAGATTGTGACCAGTACTCCAGTCAGTTCAGCATTCACACCGGGGCCGGCCCAAAGGGTGTAATGTCCAGATTCCATAGGCCTAGTTGGAGTAACAGCAGAGGTTTTCACTGCTTGGCATTATCCTTTAGATATAAATTTGTAACTGTGTAGCAGCCCACCAAGATTTTTCACTTGCTGCCTGCCTCATGAGCCTTAAGTCTTAAGCTCTTGATCACTATTGTCTTGTCCTGTCTTTCCTCATCCACACGTGTTCTGTTCTTCTCTCAAGCTTGAACTCTCTTCAGCTGATTCATATATCATGCCAATCACCAAGCCTGACAATGAAAAACCTGTGAAGCTGTGCCCATATGAACACATAGCCACCTGACATACTCAACATGCCCAAAAGCCTCCCAAGCACCATGGGGATCCACAATATATGTATTTGGACCAAATACTGTACCAGCAATCCCCGCTAGCACTTACTGGTTGCTGTGAAGACCAGGTTGTTTGATGAGAAGGATTTTTCTGATTAGTGCTGAGTAAGCAGTCCTTCCATTAAGTTTAGTCTGTGTTGGTGATAGAAGCAATTGTTCAGGTTTTGGGTACACTGGCATAAACACACACTTCTCTATAGTGTGTATCACAACAGCTGGTGGTACAGACCTAATAAACAGCACATGCACTAGTTGTCTTGAAGCTTGCTACATATGTACTGCAGCCCCATAAATTGCAAGGTTTTCAGTGATCAGTACTTTGACACATCCCCCTGCTTCTCATGAATCATGATTACCAGCATCATCTTCAGAATGTGATGTCATTGTATTTCCAAATAAACCTGGATTTCATTATGTGCATTGATCTCTTTTTTGCAAATGTCCCAGTCATTGCTCAATTGATGGAAAATTTGCTCTTGGAGGGTTAATTTCACAGCAATCTGGTGAGTTTTTATGAAACTGCTGAGAAGTTTTCTGGGTAGATCCTGACCCAAAGCATATTGAGGATAATTACAGGGCAATGGCATTGATTGGAAAACAGGCGGCTGGTCCACAAGGCTCCAGCTCAAGATTTCTCATCAAACACAACAAATCTCTTTCTGCAAGGGTTTTGACTCTGTCAAACAATAAATCAGTTAAATTCAATTGCCCTAATGCTGGTTCTGCTGCCAGGGTTAACCCAGCAACTTAAAAAGCTGACATCCCAGCCTCTCTAAGCTCAGCTCTTATTATTCCTGGGAGAATAACCACTGATCTGGGCTTGAAGTCTCACATTGCAAAGTTTGAAGAAAAAATCATGTCCATTCAGTTTTTGGTGTGGGTGATGAAATGTGTTTACCAAAACTCCCAATTATGATGTTCTTTGGATTTCATAATCCAACCATGAGAATTTGCAAAGCTGGCGTTTTGGGAGGACAGCAGCCAGTAGGAGTTCTGTTGCTCCTCTTAAGGGAATTCCCAGTAGGATTTCTGTTGCTCCTCTTAAGGGAATTGCCAGTAGGAGTTCTGTTGCTCCTCTTAGGGAATTCCTTGGATCAATGTGGAGCTTACAAGCCAAAGAATTAAACAGGCTTCAATCCCAGAGTTTTGACCATGTGATTGAGTTTAAAAAATCTTTGAATGGATGTACATCCAGATATTTTCTCCTGAAGAAGGTATCTCAATTGTTGGGGTTCTGAAAATTCAAACTGAAACAAATTATAATCTTCAAACACTCAAGCATCAACCAATTCAGTCACAAATTTTGAATTATTTCTCTGAATATTTACTATCTGAAATGTCACTAGCATCCAACTTGGCTCCAATTCTAATGGAGAAGTACTGGAATGATATGGAATGTGAGCTCTCATAATCTTGAACTATCCAAAGGATTTTTGGTATCATCATGAACTGATTAATTGATTTTCCTTTCCTTTGAAACCTTCATAACACAAACCATTGTAATGCTAAATTTGGATTTCAAATTGCAAACAGTTTAACAGCAAAAAAGACCTTCAGGAATTTCAAAATTCAAGCCCATAATGAAGATGAATTTGAAAAAAAGAGTCCAAGTGCTTTTTACAATGGTGGCTGAAGAGTTCTACAAAAAAAAAGAGCAAAGCCTGTGAAAAACAGCTTGTGGGAACCTTTCATGTCAACAATTAATAAACTCCCCAAAAGAGAACATTATGGGTTCGATGTGAAAAATTGGAATTTACCAATTGCAATATTTGCAATAGATGGTTTAAACTCTGTTAATGTTTTGAGACCTCATTCAGACTGTCCAGTTCCAATCTCAAAATTCCATGGTTCAAATGAGTGACCTGGTAAGATGTCTCTATATCCTCAATAAGAAGATCTCAAAGGGGATATTTGGATCAAAACACCACATACTAGGGGGGTTCACAATTGAACTTTAAGGCCATTTTTAAGGTGTTTCTGATCATAAATTTATAAATTTTTTGTGATCTACAGAAGGTTCAGAAACCAGTAAATTGGAAAAACTCAAAAAAACTATAAAATGTTGCTCATAAACGCCTTAAAAATCACTCTAAAGTTCAATCGTGAACCCCCCTACTAAGGATTGAACACATTCTTTACTGTCTATGTTGTTGAGTTTTTCAGCTCTCTGGTCTACTCCTTTCCAAATCACTCCTTTCTTCACCCTTCTTTACCTCTTTTATCCTTTCTTGAATCTTCTTGATCTAGACTGAATTATGGTAATACACTGCTGGTTTTATGTTGAATCTTGTGCAATTCTGGAGTCTAATTAGAACAATCATTAGCAATTTTATCAACAACTCCTGTCTCTTTGATTGATCTCTTTCTTTTTCTATTTCATTATTTGATTCATTAAAATCTGATTGTTAAGAATTAACAACTCTTATTCATTCGTGGTGGTGTGTTTGTTTTCTCATGATTAATTTTGCTAGCTTGTCTAAAAGAGACTGAGAAGACTTGTCCGGCTATTTCTTCCATGAACTCATTCATTACTTCCTCTCAGATTTTATTCAAAATCACTCTTTATTCAATTTCATTATCAACCACAACTTGATCACTTGTATTTAGTCTACTCAAACTAGCCTTCCTGCAGTGAATAAAAAACATTGGTTCTCTCATAGAGATGGGCGGGGATAATCCGTTGCGGATATCCACTATCCGCTGGCGGATACCCGCCAGAGGATGCGGATTTGGGTGCAGATGTCCTTTCCCCCCCAAATCCCGGCAGATATCCGGGTATCCCCTGGGATACCCGAGACCAATGGCCAGCTGGAAGGGTTTCCTTCCAGTCGGCGAGGCATGTACCTTGTCGACTGGAAGGGTTGCCTTCCAGCCGGCGAGGCATGTACCTCGTCGACTGGAAGGGCTGCCTTCCAGCCGGCGAGGCATGTACCTTGTCGACTGGAAGGGTTGCCTTCCAGCCGGCGAGGAATGTACCTCGCCGACTGGAAGGGTTTCCTTCCAGCTGGGGAGGTAGAAACCTTCCAGCCGGCGAGGTACATGTACCTTGCCAGCTGGAAGGGAAACCTTCCAGCCGGCAAGGTACATGCCTCACCGGCTGGAAGGCAACCTTTCCAGGCGGCAAGGATGTGCCTTGCCGGCCATTTAGAGGGCATATATCCAAGGATATCCGCTCGGATTCCGCTAAGGCGGGGGGATATCTGCCAGGGATGCGGATGCAGGTGCGGATGCCGCTTTCCCTGGAAAAAGCAACCGGATATCCGCATCCGCGCGGATATCTGGATGCAAAGT